GTTCTCAAAATAAATTCCAAACCAAAACAAAAAGAACTGTCCACATATCGATTTCCAAATTAAACTCTTTATATTTCCCAGTACGATGGCTCTCATCAAACCTGAATTAAAAGTCTATAAGTTAAACATTAAAAGTTCAAAATAAAATGATAAGAGTGTATTTGTTATCTGTACAGTCAACTTGACAGTTGAGTAAGGGTTTGCAATAGACAATTAACTCTATATCACAATCCTTGTTACAATGTAGACTTACACTAGCGTTGGTTTGTCACGACCTTTATTATTTTGATTATATTTATTTATATTTTGTATGTACAGTTGAATTAAATATATCTATTTGTCAAAGTATTATTTAATCACGCATGGGTCTTAGAATTTGTCCTCAACAGATATCTGTTGGCAGTCAATGACTTATAATTAGGTACAATATTCTCATAATAGCATTAGCAAGCAAAATATTGTGGGTACAGAAGACTCTGTGATTTCTTTTCTACTATGAAACTCAATTACTTTACAACTTGATCTGGAAATACATGAGTACATTAAGCCGCAATTATATTTAGCCCACGCCGCGTGTCGCAACGCGTGGGTAAGCTATCGGTTACATACATTTAGTACTGGATTGATTACATTAGTCCCGTCCAGCGTGTCGCAGAGCCTGCTGACGCCACGCAGACCGAGCGATTTCGATCGGCGTGGGGTCGGTGGTGGGGGTTGTGACGCGTCAGCCCAGTCGGGTCTAGTGTAATAACGCGTGGACACGCGCAGACAGCCGAGTGGCGACGTAGAACAGTGGACGTGTTACGTGTAGGTATTTAAAAATGTCAGACGAATTAATTGAAGTCGTTAGAAACTATGAAATATTGTACAATCAAAAACACAAAGATTATAAAGACCAACTAAAAAGAAATTCGGCGTGGGAAGAAATATCTTTAAAAATAAAACTACCAGGTATGTAACTGTATTGTTTTTATTTTTTAAGTAGTTCTATCAATAATGGATATCGATGTTCTCCGCGAATATCGTGCAAAAGTGATGCTTTGTACGTATGTATTGTAAGTAGTAATTTTTATTTATAGTACCTATATTGTTGATTGTGTGAAATGACTATTATATTTTTTTATGACGATTATTCGCGGGTAACGACGATATTATTATGATAATTGTTGATACTTAAGTATTTTTTTCGGAAATTTAAAAGTATATAGGTTATTAGAGTAACTTGGGATTATGATGATGATTATGATATGATGAATGAGACAGACTCTAGTCTATTCTGCCTTGTCTGATCATATCCATTTGCCACGGTACTTGTCCTTCTGGAGAAACAAAGTACTCTTTAAATTTTTCTCTAACAGCAATAGCGTCTTGACAGTAATTTCTTCCAACAATTTCAATATTAGAGAGACCGTCTTGAGAACTATGACTTTCATTAGAATTTAGATAATTTTCTTCAATTTCTTGCGATTTTTCGGTACGCAAATAGTTATGAAGGGCACATGCAGCTTGTACAATTATGTCTGCCATATCCGGTTGTACTTGCATAGGTCCTTGAAAAATGCGAAACCTTGCTCTTAAAATTCCGAAAGCATTTTCTACAGTTCTTCGAGCACGTGATAAACGATAATTAAATACTTTATTAGAATCATTGTTTACAAGCTTTGCTTTACTGTAGGGTTTTAAAAGGTACGTTTTTAAAGGAAATGCTGCATCAGCCACAATAGTATACGGCATAGGTTCAGAATTTTGATGTATTGGAGTATTCTGTGGAACATTCAGTTGGTTCCGTTCGAACATTTTCCCCATCACGGAATTTTCGTATACACCACCATCACTGTTACGGCCATACGCCCCTACATCTATCATAACAAATTTATAGTGAGCATCAACTAAAGCAAGCAATACGATTGAATGATCTTTTTTATAGTTGTAATAGGTTGATCCAGCATTTATTGGGCATATTATGTTTACATGTTTGCCATCCAATGCGCCAAGACAATTAGGAAAATGCCAATATGTTTGGAAATCTTTTGCAATCTGTTTCCATCTCTCTTCTGAAGGTTGTGGCATTACAATGGGTGCTAGCTTTTTCCAAATAGCTTCGCATACTTCCTTGACTATATTTCTCACTGTGGTAAAACCCATACGATAACTGAACGCCACTGAACGAAAGGAGTTACCAGTGGCCAAAAACCTGTGAACAAATAAAATAATAATTAAACAGCAGATATAGTAAAAAGAAAAAATATAAAGTCAAGTACCTAATATTAAAGTTGACATAATAATAACAGTATCAGCTCTTAAAGTAACGATTTTTGTTTCAGTTGAAAAATGCAAAGATAATTGGGCTAAATTACGCAACGCATACTGTAGTGCACTAAAACGACGAAAAACTAAATCTGGGCAAGCGGCAACGCAAGGGACTCCATGGAAATACGAAGATCAAATGGGTTTTTTACGTCCATACATGGAAATGAGAAACACTAAGACTAATTTGATACCGCCGTCATCTCCGTCGACATCTGTAGAGACCATCACATCGGAATTGCCTGCAGAAAGTCCTGAAGTTCCTGAAAGTCCGCCTGATTTCAGAAGTGAGTCACAACAAAGCAACTTAAGTTCATATTCTCAAAGGAGCTCATCTTCGAAGAAAAAACCTGATTTAGCAGACATTTACGATATGATGAAGACACAGCATAGTCTGAGGCAACAAAAACAACAGTCAAAACTGGACTTGGATGAAACAGACATGTTTTTCTTAAGTATGAGCAAAGCAGTCAAAGCACTACCGAAATTAGACCAAACAAAAATTAAATTAGATTTACATATGGCTATTTCTCAGGCTGAAATTCGTAACATTGAAATGGAACGTGTAGTAAAGACACCGCTTAGAATAGTTTCTCAAACGGTAGTTCCGCCAAGTAACCAGCCTCTCCCAGAGCCATCTAGAGTCTACTACTATCATAATTCACCTACAGAAATAAATGAGTTTTCACCTGAATCCCAGTCCATACTCGATCCTGAGGCTCAAAATACAAATTCTACCGGAGAAGAAAACTTGTCCACTTATTACAGCGGTGTAACTTTTAATTGAGCACCGTACTTGAATGATTAATATAATAGTTTCATACTTGTTAAAATTAAAATTGTTGATTTTTAATACAAAATAAAAATTACCTCAAACAAACTGCTAGCCTTTCTTTTGTTCCAATGGGTCGGCGAAATCTGGTATGAATCTTTTTAATATCTTGTTCAATTAAAGAATGTATGTAATTGAATTGTTGTTTTGTCATCCTGAAGTACTGTTGAAATTTAATTTCATCGCTTTTTAGTTCTTGCACCAACAAATGATATTCACTTCGGCTTCCTCTTGAAGTATTTATTGGATGTACCCAATATCTCCTTTTCTTTCTTTCCTTTTTGAGTAGGCTTAACATGAGCAGGTATGCTACATTTTCTTCGAAATCCGTATCCGAGTCTGAAGAAAACATTGTAGACGTTTACTCCAAAGGCCTCCACTATACTGACTGAGACGAATTTTCGTGGGGGCGCGCGGCGACACGACACGCAAATGTAATAACCCGCCGTTGCGTCAGGCAGCGTGGCGACACGTGGCGTGGGTTAAATATAATTGCGGCTTTACTAATTGCTTTTATAACGGAATTAAGTGGTCAAAATATGGAACCTTACATAGATACTACATAACCCAAGTTATTTGTTCCTCAAATCAACATACTTATTACAAGTCCTATCTCATTTACACATGTAATTAAGACCATGTCAAATTGCAAGACCAATTCCATTACTTATTATGATAATAAAACCTTAAATACTCATTTCATTACTTAGTTCAACTGTACATACAATAAGCTAAAAATTAACTTACACTGAAAGTACATAAGATACTTTATTTACAGTGAGGCCATAACAGTCTTATTGAGACAATGGCGCCTATTTTATTATACACTGACATTACACTAACACACACTCTCTCTCTTTCGACTTCATCAGTACCAGTTCTAAGGTAGTGTGTCAAAGACATGTTTTATTATAACACCTAGTCCAGGCACAAAATAAGACTAAAATATACTAATATTATTACCTATACTAGGTACTTAATCTGGCATGATAATCTAGTCTCACACATTTTAAGATAGCAATGATTTTAATTCCGTCAAATTAGCCATAACTTTGTTGTTAATGGAATTGATTAGAAAGAGTGTCGACTAGAAACACGAATTAAACAAAACAGGAATAAAATCATTACCACCTCCTTTATATTCAATGAGTTAAAGAGAGTGTTACCTTACTGGTGTACAAGAAAATAGGCGCCAATATTTATCATAAATAATAATGCTTAAAATAATTATAATCAAAATAATATCTGGTCAAATCACATACACACAATATCAGTCACACTTTAAATGCATATTCAAAGTTTGTGTGTATTCTATACTATTCTATGAAGTCTTGAAAATGGTTATTATGACCAGGATTTCATTAGGTATAATTATTATAGAATCCACACAAACATCGTGTAGGCATTGAAAAACTTAACATAGTAAAATAATATACTATAAATATACAATTAGCAATATCTTAACCCTAAAAATACGCTATACATGTAGAAAAACTGTATATAAAAAGTTTAACGCTAAAACTTTGAATTTTTAGTAATATATAAATCGTATTCACACAATGGTAATAGTTAATTAGTCATTTGCCTAAATTCATACAATTTTGTTGAAATGTAACTATAAATTATGCTCATAGGTGTAAAAATATATGTAAATGCACACGTAATTTAGTCAGGGTGTTCATTTAGTAAAATCTCTATGAATCTATTACAATGTTCTGTTCTATATAATAATAATATTATAACAATAACATTGTTCCCTGAAGTGAGCACTCGTTAATTTTACATCATTTCACAATTTTTAATTGATACCCTTAGTTTAATAAGATATTAAATAGAGTTAGTGGTTTACAATTGACAAGGTAAAACCTGAAGGTCATTTACACTTGTATTAACAAAACTGATTACTTAATAGACAGAAGTCAGTCAGCAGTGCTTGGCACAACCACTCATGGTTAAGCAATATGCAAAGTGCAAACACTAATCAAAGTGTTTAATGCCTTCACTAAAACATAATTGAATGTATATAGAGCGTAGACTCGCAAATGATAATGTTGCTAAGTACAATGCATGCTAAATCAGTCTGCTTCAATTGGGAAACCAGTGTAACAAATTAGTGTTACATTTGGATATGAATCACACTTCGAAGTTGTAAACTGTATCACATTCCCAACTAAAAATAGTCCTGACAAAACATGTAAACACACTGCTATAAATCAATTAAAAACTGTGAAATAATTATTACACTAATATCAAAATAACAGCACAACTGGTAATTTAACAATGTATGGGTAGCTTGAATGGATGGAAGTGAATTACGTCTTTGTGAGTGAATTGATTGAGTGTTTCGGTGGTGCTACCTTTTCTGGAAGCCTTTTGTGCCGTCAGGACCTCTGGGAGTTCGGATGACGAGCACACCGCGCGGTGGGGGGGATGGGAACACTCCTGAAGCGGTGGCTCCTGGTGGAAGGCGCGGTAGAACTTTTCGTTCCCTTCCTTTGGTATTATTGTCACATGGCGGGGTTTTTGTCTTACTGCTATTATTTTGATTGTCGTTGAGATTGATTACTTGTAACTTGTCTTGTAGTCGGCCGAGGCTGGAACAGTAAAGATATAAAATAAATATACAAGTTACTATTTGTCTTGTGGTATACATGAGACTTAGATGATATCTATTATTGTGCCAAACAAGACAGTTATTACTTAAATGCAGATTTAAGTTCATGAATCATCTTTAACACTTAATCTAATTTGTGTTTATCAAAGTAATCAGGATAATTTTAATAAAAAGTCTAACATTTCCTTGAAATAATAACTTATCTGTCAATTAATATATTTTTTTAACAATCACCTGTCATAATGATGTTGTCATTTATTCTTTACAACAAATATGTAAGTTTCCGAACATACTCTTTATTATTTTGTGCTATATATACATAACACTATAAATACTACTATAGAATATCTATTTTATAGAAACATTGTGAATAACAAACTTTTCTTAAATCTCTGTTAAGCTTTTATTCTTATCAAAAAAGTACTGTAAGATAAGCATTGTGTCAGATGTGACTTGTATCATGTCTCAGTTGGGTTTGAGAAATTATATATATTTAGATTAAGAGAGTATTCAGTAATGTAATATCCCCAGAGTATTGATACACATTTATTAATAAAATGTGTCAAATTTTGCCATAAAGGTCATCTTACAAGGAAAATCTAAGCAGTATATGAGCCTGGACCCTAGGAAAGTTGCTCCATTTAAGATTAAATACTTTTTGATAGTGAAACCATAGTGTAAGCTACTTCCATAAATAATCTAAAGGTCAAACACAATTAAAACAGTATGAATGATATCTTATGATAGAAACAAATTATATGGTAACCTTTTCAAGGACTATCTCATTAGAGTATTCCACACCAAAAAGACTGATTGGTGATAAACATAAATTAGCGCTAAATGCTACTATTTTTGCCAACATTTCCTGACAGCTCTGAAGCAACTCTGCTTCTGCTGCATAACAGTGTTATGTAAAACGATAATTTTGTAATTGTTGAATAAAACCGGCCTTACTTGTCATCAATAACATCTTCTGGGCTTCGGGCTTCACCCAAGATCCGCAGTCGAGCCTCGGCGTACTCCTTTTGCCTTTGTTCAAGTGTTTTTACCGGGCGCGCGCGACTCTCGCCATTTAGTTGCCCGCTGCCCGATGAAGACGGTCTCTTCAGGATACGGATTGCTGGCTCCGGCATCACGCACTGAGATCCGATACACGCGTTCTCTTCTACAGTAACCTTGCAACCTTTGAGTGAAGTTTGCACTGGCGCGCAGTCAGTTGACATCAGCCTGATCTTCTGGTCCAACTGAAATAGACAAACCCATATGTAAATAACTACACGGCGGCCAGTTTCGAGGTGGGAAACGTCCAGGTTCGTGTTTCACTGTTACACTTACGCCAATTTCGTCCATATCCTCCCAACTTTCACATACGTCAACTTCATCTTGGGCCGCCATGTTGACTGACTGATATGACGTTGCCACATGAAAAAAGTAAAAACTTTAATACTTAGAACGTAAACGTGTTGCGAATGTTACGGTAAAAGAGTACGGTTTTTATAAAAAAAAAACAAATGTCAAATTTTGAATTTTGACGAGTTGAATACTGTCAAAGTGTCAATGTCATTGTCATAACACTACTCGAAGTGTGATCGAATGTGCAAAAACGTGAAAGAATAAAGTGATTTCATTGATTTTACTGAAAAACTTGTGTTGGAACTCTAACATGATATAGAAAGTAAGTACGCGCTCCATTATTAGGTTTCAAACAATGCAAAAGACGGACATTTTTGACTTGGATAACTTTCAATTTAAAATAGGTTATGTTATCATGCCGTGTTTATTTACTTTCAATTATTTCTCTATTACAGTTATTACAATGGCCCTCAAATCGTCATACGCCTCGTCTACTTCAGGCCTGACATCCGTAGACCCCGAATATGTCCAGTTCTTGATGTTTACTGACGAAGATGTAAAGAAACTTAGTGTTGCGAAAATCACGAACAGTCAATGTTTTGATGCCATCGGAAACCCTACGAAAGGAGGTCTTTATGACTCGGCATTAGGACCTCTCAGAGATAGGAATGAAACTTGCGGAACTTGTAATAACGTATTGTTACATTGCCCAGGGCACTTTGGTCACATAGAGTTGCCACTAGTTGTAGTCAATCCACTATTCATCAAAAATGTTTACTCAATATTTCGTATCAGTTGTCTAAAATGTTTCAAAATTCAAATGGATGATAGATTGAAGTTTATTCTGAAGCTTCAACTAGAACTTGTAGATGCCGGCCATATCACAGCTGCTTTAGACTTGGATAACTTTGTTGGTGACATAACTAGTAACAAAGAAAACTCATCTGATAAACCATCAAAGGTTATCAAAAAATACCAGAAGCTATTGAAGAAAAGAGATCCTATAACAGAAACATTTCAAAATAAAAATGTCGACAAGTTAAGAGCAAAGTTTATTAATCAGTACTTTAGAGTAATTAACATAGCTAAGAAATGTGCTTTCTGCTCTAGTAAACTCATTAAAGTGACCACTTCAGAAAACAAAATCATGTACAACCTTAGTTCTGAAGGAGCTGAGAAAGGTACCAAAGGAATCAAGATTTTAATGCCCGATGAGATCAAAAGGTTTTGCACAGAAATAGCTCAAAATGATGAAGAAATTCTCAAATTTTGCTTCCCTGTTTTGAATAATTCTAAAGAAAAACCTGTCACTAATATATTCTTTATGGAAGTGGTTCCTGTTCTGCCCCCATGTGTCAGACCTTGTAATGTTCTCAGAGGGGAACTTATTGAACATCCTCAAACTAATGTCTACAAGGCCATATTACAAAATGCTTTTGCTGCTCGAGCTGTTTTACATATCCTCACATCATCTAATCAGCAGAAAGCAATTGACTGTCTTGACCAAGTACCGAGACAAGCCTATGAAAGTGTACAAGGTAAATCACCAGCCGAAAAACTTCATGTGGTTTGGCAAGAATTACAAAAGAGTATAAATAACCTTTTGAACTGCGAAGGCCAAGGTGTAGCAAGTCAGGGTTTGAAACAAATCATTGAAAAGAAGACTGGCTTAATCAGAATGCACATGATGGGCAAAAGAGTAAATTTTGCAGCCCGATCTGTTATCACCCCAGACCCTAATGTAGATATTGATGAAATAGGCATTCCAGATGCTTTTGCTATGAAGCTAACATACCCAGTTCCGGTTACAGAATGGAATGTTGACGAATTGCGGAAAATGGTCATCAATGGACCCAAGAAACATCCTGGCGCTGAGAAGATTGAAATGGAGAATGGAAGAATCATTACCATAGCCACAGATTCTATACAAAAACGGAAAAGTCTTGCTAAAAGGTTACTTACACCTGAAGAGTTTAAAGCATCTGGGCTGAAGATTGTTCACAGACATTTAGTGAATGGTGATGTCCTGATTTTGAACCGACAGCCTTCTCTTCATAAGCCTAGTATGATGGCACATAGAGCACGAATTTTAAAAGGAGAGAAGACACTCAGGTTGCACTATGCCAATTGTAAATCATATAACGCCGATTTTGACGGTGATGAAATGAATGCTCACTTCCCTCAGAATGAGATTGCAAGGAGTGAAGCATACAATATTATGTCTGTACGAAAACAATACCTTGTACCCAAAGATGGAACCCCATTGAGTGGTTTAATTCAAGATCATGTTATTTCTGGTGTGAAAATGTCTCTGAGAGGAGCATTCTTCTCGAAATCTGACTATCAACAGCTTGTGTTCCAAGCTTTGCCCAATCACAAAGGACCAATCAAGCTTTTACCACCTACCATTCTGAAACCCATAGTTCTTTGGTCTGGTAAACAAATTTTGTCAACTATTATCATTAATACTACACCTAAAGGAAAACCTTGCCTTACTCTGATTGGAAAAGCAAAAATTAGTTCTAAAGCTTGGCAAAAGACACCTCCACGACCTTGGAAAGCTGGTGGCACACCATTCACTAATCCCAACACTATGACAGAAGCAGAAGTTATAATAAGGAAAGGTGAACTTCTTTGCGGAGTACTGGACAAGACTCATTATGGTGCTACACCTTATGGTTTAGTTCATTGCATGTACGAGCTGTATGGAGGCGACAGTTCAAGTGCTTTGCTAAGTTCTTTTTCCAAAGTCTTCACATTTTATCTGCAATGGATTGGATTTACCCTTGGAGTGAAAGATATCTTAGTAGTGGAAGAAGCTAATAAAAAGCGCGATGATATAATTTGTTTGGTTCGAAACGCTGGTAAATCTGCAGCTGTTAAAGCAGCTGACTTACCAGCCGATGTTGATGATGAAAAATTAAAAGAAACTATTGAAGTCATGTATACCAAAGATCCTAAGTTTAGAGCTAATCTCGATCGACAATATAAAAATTTGCTAGACTCCTACACTAATAATATTAATACAGCCTGTTTATCAGAGGGGCTGCTGGAGAAATTCCCGTATAACAATCTTCAGTTAATGGTACAGTCTGGTGCCAAGGGATCAACTGTAAATACTATGCAGATTTCATGTTTGCTTGGTCAAATTGAGTTGGAAGGTAAAAGGCCGCCACTCATGATATCTGGTCGATCTCTACCTAGTTTCCCACCTCATGACGTATCTCCGAGAGCTGGAGGATTCATAGACGGTAGATTCATGACCGGTATACAACCTCAAGAGTTCTTCTTCCATTGTATGGCTGGTCGTGAAGGTCTTATCGATACTGCTGTCAAAACCAGTCGATCTGGTTACTTACAAAGATGTCTTATCAAGCATTTAGAAAGTTTAGCTATTGCCTATGACCATACAGTGAGGGATGCCGATAACAGCGTCATTCAATTTGCTTACGGAGAAGATGGATTAGATGTCCTCAAATGCCAATTTCTTAGAAAAGATCAATTTCCTTTCCTTGATGCTAACGCTAATGCAGTAGTTAGCGAAGCTGTGATTGATAAACTCAAAGAAAACGCAGATTTGAAAGACGTTAATAAAGCCAACAAGTCTTTGAAGAAATGGAAAAAGAAATATGGTAGTCCTTTCGAAAAAACTCGAACCAGTGGCTTTGCTCAATTCTCAGCCCTTGAAAGAGGGCAAATTGAACTTGATGACCTACCAACCGATAAAACGAGAGATCCATTCTATTGGGAGCTGGAAAAGAAATGGCGTGCAATGGATGATGAAGAAAAAGAACAATATAACCGTAAAAAATGTCCCGATCCTATCCCGTGTAAAGTGTCGCCTGAATATAAATTTGGTGTGATTAATGAACAATTAGACAATTTAGTACAAAGTTATTTGAAAAGTCGCCATTCCGAAACACAGGAGGAATGCACAGCGAAGGATAAATTCATTGAGGTGATGAACGCTAAATACCTTGAATCGATGGCAGCTCCAGGCGAGCCTGTGGGTTTACTAGCCGCTCAATCTATCGGTGAACCTTCAACTCAGATGACACTGAACACTTTTCACTTCGCTGGTCGTGGTGACATGAACGTAACCTTGGGTATCCCACGTCTCAGAGAAATTCTGATGACGGCTTCGGCTAAGTTGAAAACCCCTAATATGGATATACCGTTCAGAGATGACATTCCAGATTTGACGAAAAAGGCTGAGAAGTTGAGGCAAAAGCTAAATAGGGTAACAGTCGCTGATGTATTGGAGAAGATAGACGTTGAATGTCAGATTGTAATCAAGCCTGAGAGACAACTAAAGACGACAATGCGATTCCAATTCTTGCCACATTCTCAATACAAGACACAGTACGCTGTAAAGCCTGCGCAAATAATAAAACATATGCAGAATAAATTCTTTGAAGAAATGTTCTCGACTGTGAGGAAACAGGCAAAGGCTGTTAGTGGCGTCGTTTGGTCTTCTGAGAAGAAAAAGAAGCGATCTAAAGGTGGTGATGAAGATGATGATGAGGAGAATGACGCGCCGGAACCTGAGCCTGCTGCCAACTTGAACGACGACAGTTCAGATGATGAGGCCCCTAATGACGACGATGACAATACTGATGTAAGTTTATTTTTGTTATTCTTGTAAAGCAAAGATAGAAAGGACACACATTCCTCCAATAAGCTGTAGTACTACAGCTTAATTTTAATAAGAAACTGTAAAATGTTTTCATAAATAGTAATAACATCGGCGGAATGTGTGTCCTTTCTTTCTTTCCATAATCATTAATTATTAAACGGTAATATTATAATTAAAATGTGTATTTTCATTTCATTGTTTCATTGTTTCATTGTTTGTTTCATTGTTTCATTATTAATCATCAACCATTTTAATTTTTAGGCTAAAATTCGCAAAAAGAGAACTGAGGAGCAAGAATATGAAGACCCAGAATCTGAAGAAGAGGAGAAATCAGATGACGAGGTAGAAGAACTAACTGATGAACAAGCTAAAGGAGAAGATGTCGTCGACGAAACTAATGCTAATGGCGATGCAGAAACGAGCAAAATTGTGTCTGATGTAGTATCAACATTGAAAGAAGCTACAAACTATTCCTTTGACACTAAACATCACAAATGGTGCGAACTAACAGTACTCTTCCCAATTTCCTTCCTAAGAGTTGATCTCTCTCAGGCACTTCGCGAAGCAGCGATGAAATCCGTCATACACGAAGTCAAAAACATAAAGCGAGCGATCACAAACAAAGAGAAAAACGTGTTATTCCTCAAAACTGAGGGAATTAACATCCTACAAATGTTCAAATACAATAACTTGTTAGATTTGAATAAACTTTACAGTAATGACATCCATGCTATTGCGAACACGTATGGCATAGAGGCTGCTAACAAAGTTATTATCAAAGAAATACAGAATGTGTTTAATGTCTACGGTATTACTGTGGATCCTAGACATTTGACGTTGGTGGCTGACTACATGACATACAATGGCATCTTTGAGCCTATGAGCCGAAAGGGAATGGAAGCGTCATCTTCACCCTTACAACAAATGTCTTTCGAATCCTCGTTGATATTCTTGAGGGAAGCCGTTTTGAACTCTAAAAAGGATAACTTAAAGTCTGCATCTAGTTGTCTTATGTTGGGACAACCTTGTAAGAACGGTACTGGCGTTTTCAGTTTACAACACTTCAGTAAGGTTATTAGCTAAGAAATGTTACTTTTTATCGTGTAATACTTAATCATTGTTTTTTAAGAATAAATGAATATATTTGTTTACAAAGTTCGTTGGAGCTGTTTGCAGATTGAAAGCTAAACTTAGTTACATATACCTTACCTTACAAATGTTTAACTTTTGGTCTGTATCTAGCTTTCCTTTTGATTTCGATAACCTTGCTAATAGTAACTTCACACAATAATAAAAACAAGCCGTTGAACACAAATCACCTTGATTATTTTTCAAATTAGGTAATGTTTCATAATCATCAACTTTCTGTAGATGATATATACTTATTGATTGTCCATTAAAAAAGTGGTTGTATAAATTGTATCATTTTTTGCGATATTGACTAGGTTTACTTACTACTACTAATTTGTTCTTTGTTGGTAGAAAAATTTAATCTGTCAATGAAATTTTCATTGGTTCCAGAAAAAAGGACAAATAGCCTTTAGCTTGGTGAAATAAAAAGACAAAAACTAGTTTTAAAAATCATTTGTATTTGTCGTATTACAATAGAACTTATAAACGATTATTAAAATTACAGTGTTGATGGACATCACCCAGTGTGTCTGACACACCGAATTCTTGGATTGTACTCTTATTATCAAGGCACATTACATTGTCACAGACAAAACATTGGAACTTTTACGAAAATGGTAAAATCAATTCATTTATTCAAAGCTGTGTTTACGTACTAAGTTTATGTGTACCACTTACAAGTTATACGAATAAAATATTAAAATTTTCTAATATAATCATTTAATAATCTGTACGCGGTTTACATTATAGCTTAATGTTAACTTAGACATAAAACAGAATGATCACATAAGCTCCTGGGCGTGTAGCGCTTTACAACGCTACATGAAATATAACTAATCCATAAATATTACGATAATCTTGCACGGAAAATATATTAACAATGACTAAACTAATGCAACAACATTCGCTTTAAGCGAACAATGTACGATTTTTATAAAATCAGAACTCACAACACTATTACCGTTTTGGCACTAACTCTAAGGCATAGACTGAAAGGAATTCGCGCCAAAATTACGCTAATGGCGGTTCATTTAAACATTTTACTCAAGGATAAAGTAGCTGTATTTTCTACAAATCTTGAATAGGAAGCTATTGAGAAAGCTGTTTTTGGTCATCTTTAATTTACATATTCCTGAGAGTCTATGACATGGATTAGTGAAAATATTTTCCAGATAAACTACATAATATTCGAGGGTCTGCGACGTTGTATCAAATGCATCGATGGCACTTACTATCTTTATAATATTGTTTAAACTGTTATTTACTTATAACTTGCGAGGATATAAAAATGTAAAATTCACTGGCTAGGACGGTAACATTAGGTTTCATTTGGACCCCAGAATCTCTACTTCACTCTTTCACTCGTCTCTCTACATTAAGCTATAAAATAATTATTAACAATACTTGTATGGTAATAATTAAACTAAATTTAATAAATAGCAATTTATAGGTAGTTAAAAAGTTGACCAAACGCGAGCTCTTTGTGTATCATACACAAGATTTTATCACAGCCCTATTGATGTGCGTCTCATTGCATTTAAAAAAATACAGTAGACAGGTGTAAAGACTGCGGAATATAAAAGTTTAATCCACCATTTGTAATCAGAAACATTAACAGTCATATCTAAAGTTCAATTAAAATAAAATATTAACAACTAAAATAATTTGCAACACACCTACACAGTCTCACCCTAAAAATACGTGGAGCTCGCGTTGGGCCGAACGTAGCCAACAAACACAACCGCCATTTTAAAAAGGCGTGGGAAACATTATATAAAATACTTTTTACAAGTGTATCGACGCGTGCACCGCTCGATTTATCTAACAATTTAATAACATTTGACACATTACGTTTTGCAACTTGTCCGCCCCTACGTCGGTATTTAATTATTTGAGTTAAAATACGGTAGGGCGCAGCGTTGCAAGTCATACTGAGTCAAACTTCAAACAGTTGTATTCGTTGCTGTTTCTCAACTTTTTAACTCCTATTGCGCTGTTTCCGCTTGGCTCTGATTCTTGGCGGCTTTCTTCTCTTGTTTGATGGCTTTCTTATCGGCTGCTTTCTTGGCATTAGCCTCGTCATCAGCAGGGTTGTCCCAGTCTTGTCTTCTGCCTGAAGCGAATACGTTGTAGAATGTGGCGCAGAAGATGTACACACCGCCAGCGATGTAGAATACTTTCTTCCATTGCGCTTGAGTGGGCTGTCGAAAGAAAATAATAAGTCAGCGGATTCGTTTACTACACATAGTTATCAGTTATGAATGTAGCTCAATGTAGCTTTGGCAAAAAAGATATTAGGTACTTACCCTGCCCTCAATGATGTATCCAGCAACAATGGGCGCAAGCAGACCAGTCAAGTTGGCCAAGCAGTTGGTGAACGCCATCAAGACACCGGCGAAACGCGGTGAGATGTCCAAGTGGTTAACCTGTTAAGACAATAACAAAGTTAAACAAGTGTAACGATGTTTTGTTTAACAATTTTAAATCTACACTGAATGTTCGAAATAGTTACCTTGAAACCAGAGTAGATACCACCGTTGAGACCGACACCTACAGCCAAGATGGCGACGGTGGCAGCAGGGTTGCAACCAGTGTTCGCGGCGATAAACAGACCAGCTGCTGGGCCGTATTGACCTGGATTTAAAAAAATGTGGGTCACTAAATTGTTGAAATTTCCCACAACTAAAAATCTTAGGCCTAAACTCCTTACACACTTCTTTAGGCGACTTGCTATGACCATCTGAATGTGAAGACATTCAGATGGTCATAGCAAGTCGCGTTATGTCGGTTACAAGTGTCACAAATCCCTTGCTTTTCACATTTCGTCATTCTTCCAATGCAGATATAGGTACATATTTACACTTAGCACTAATGCATCTCAATCATTTCAGAAACAATACAATGAAACTTACCAATACTGTTGATGACTTTCCTGACTTGCGTGTGGTTGAACCGTCCGCTGGACAACATCCAGTCGGCGACCACTGAGATGAACATGGAGAACAGCCACATGCACAGGTAAGGGAGGGCGGACACGAAACCGTTCTGAAAAAAATAAACATTGTAGACGTCACTCTTTGTACGGTAGAAAATTTTAAATGTTTGTTCCGTAATGCCCAAATTTAAGCGCGGAGCAGGTGTTTGTTAATCTCGCTAAAACTCGAAAAAGGCTGTATCGACATGGCTTATTATTGTAGTCTTGAAATATACAGTAAAGGTTTAAAAGGTCAGAAAAAATACGGCTAAATAAAAAAAAGAATTATATATGTTTGAGGCTGTACGGAGTTTACCGGGTCAGCTAGTGGTTTTAAATTTAAATTCTGATTTAATTAACCGTCGTTGAAAACGACATGAGTTTCTAAGGAGTTGAGCCTTTTCATCGTCGTCCGAGTCCGGGAAGTCAAGTTAAACACCAATTTTATTGATACTATTTTTATCTCGACCAAAAGTACCTATAACGACGTTATTTTTGTCAGTATTATTGAAGCCACTTAGGTAGCCTTAGGTTCCCTGTGGGAAAAGTCGTAAAAACTTATTTGCGGTTAAGCAATTCAGTTCTTTATTGCGTAATAAAATAAAGTAGAAATTGGCATATGTATTACAAACGAGGAATCCTTTGTTGTCGCTCTTCTTTCGGTACATTTCCATGGATCAATCTGAGTGGAACGGCCCACTGATTCAACTGGTTTCTTTACTAGGGCTGTCACACATAGCATAAAGACCAAGAGTACCTACCTAACATGAGAAAAGCATTCCAGCATACCTTTTTTTAGAAAGAATTAAATAAAATATATTACTATTCCAAAGAAAATGTATTGTGTGATTATGAACAAATAATTTATATTTTTCAAACACCCAATGGGAATTAACTAATGAATCTTAAAATAAAATTTTCATTATTATGACCTAGGTAAGTATGCTACTATACTCACAAATCACACTTTATTATTAAAATCTTTTAAAACTCCCCTTTTTTAAGGTCAAATCCACAAAATATCTAAAAGACACTTCTGCACTATCCAAAACCTTAAAAAACCTTCGAAATAATTTTTGGCATGAGGAAATTCACCAATAAATCATGTACCTATGTAAAGAGTGTCAATCCTGTCACTCGGTACAATTGCCCGTAAATGTGCCTTTGACCCCCACTACAACAGCTCGTACCGAATGATTAATGCTCTGAACGATTCAAATTATATTACGTCCTCGTTTTATTGCTAAACAACTGAATGGGTTGGAGTGTTGTTTACTTCTGTCATTGGACTTTCCAAAATGGCTTTATTGGATTCGTATTAGGCTTTTGATTTTGATTTGGATCAGATTTATTTTGAGATCACACAGTGCCACAAAATTATTATTCACTGTTTAAAATGGTTAACGTATATTGAGCCGACAACAAATAAATAACATTGGTCTTAATCTTCATAATACCTACAGAAAACTATTTCTGTAAAAGACAGCAAAAGCTACTTACATCCTTGATAGAGAAGTGCAGCACTTGTCTCATGAAGGTTGGCAGCTCTGTCATGAGGGTCTCGTAACCGTAGTTCTGTCCCATATGTGCCAACATGATAGCCCAGAAAGGTGTTGACAGCAGAATCTTGCTCCAGGGAATTGGTGGTGACTGTAATGATTAATTTTACTGCTGAAGACCAGATGATGTTAAGAATGCCACTAAACCAAAAATCTATTTATTTTGGGAATAATAAAAATGTTCTGAAGATGTAATGAATAACTTGCTAAATTATTTTCAGTTATTCTATTAAAAGTAATTTTAACCTTTTAATCGTGGTAGTTAGAGACAATATGCAAGTGCGCGAACGCGTTCGCTTGGGCTTTGATGAATCAACAGGCTTTGGTTCTTGTAAAGCAAAGTTTCATAAACAAAAAAAATATACTTACGCTGGATCCAGCGGCACCCCATAGAGAGCTCAAGATGTACTTCTTCTCAGCCTCCTTTATGCTGGGGCACTGTTCTGGGTCTTCGGAGACGAAGAACAAGAAAGCGAGGCACCAGACAGTACCGATGAGACCGAAAACGTAGAAGATGGATGGCCAACCGCCAGAGAAACCGTATGCTGACAGAAGACCAGACAGCGGCATGGAGATAACCGTACCGAATTGTGCACCTGTATATAAGAAAAGTAAATTTTATTAGTCACCTGATACCAAGATAATAAGAAAAAATAAATAAATTTATTAGTTCTCTTGTTACAATTAGGTACATTAGGTCCTTATCGTAACTTACATTATAAATTATCGCCCAAGGTAACTTACATTATAAATTATTGTAACTATGAGAATAGATATAACAACGTAGATCAACCAAAAGAGTTCTCTCTTAATCTTTTAGTTAAGTCTGGAACTGGAACTAATTGTAATAATACTGTAAAAGAAGTGGTTTTAAATCTTACCGGCGTATACGGCGGCTCCCATCCTACTCCTCTCGTTAGGCGGAATCCATTTGGCCAACATAGCGTGTGTGCAAGGAACGATCGGTCCCTAAAACAAATAAGCAAGTAAATACATAAAAGTACTTTTGTTCTTGATGCATGCTGAAAGCTTAGGGAGGCTTATACCAAGTTTAGGATTCAGTCTAGATCAGTTTCGTCTTATAGTTAAGAAAACTTACCTCGCCCAAACCTTGAATGAATCGGACCAGGATGAGCCATTCGAAGCCAGCTTCAGCAGCGACCGGCACTAACAGACCGAACACTGAGTTCACCAACATACCAATACCCAAGAAGTAACGGGCTCCGAACCTGGTGAACAAATAATAAACGTTAAACTTGAGAGAAGTTGTTGAGAAGTGAAAGAATTTGAAGAACTAGCAGGACTTTAGAACAACTCAAGGATTTTCTTAATCCTAAATGAAGACAAAACCAAAAAAATTGGTAGATTTATCCTCTATTTCAGCTGTATTGTAATCAAAATCAAACTGATTCTACGGAAGTTATTCAAAAGTCCAATATAGCTAAAAGGAAAAGGTCATTTAACGTTACTAATTTCCAAATACAATATGATTGCATTGACAAAGCTGTGTAATGAATGACGCTATTTAATCACTCAGATAAGCACTTAAAATGATTTATTATATGTTTTGACTGGGGAATTGTATGCTCTGACGTCACTTTTAATGGGTTTACATACATACATACAAACATGTAGTGTTATTCCAGCTATACGTAAAAACTGAACGATCAAATTCATTGGGTAAGGGTAAATATGGATCTAATGTTGTCCCTTGTGGTACACCTAGAACTTTCAGATCAAATATAGTAGTTTGAGACTGTCTGGATTGCCTATCCTTTACGCTCAGATTACTGACTAAAGTAGGTGGCATAGTACGTTTAAGTAAAGACCAGAGTATTTACAATAACACAATTATACCCCGTTACATGACAATCATAGCTCAGGTACCCAAAAGACTATCAGAAAGTCTTTAAGAAATTTGTACAAACCTTTTAGACAAGATTCCGAAGGGTATCTGTGTGATAACGTATCCATAGAAGAATGAGGATAAGATGTAACCTTGCAGCGTAGAACTCCAAACGAACGAACCATCTTGTGTCGACGCCTGCAACAATAGTAAAGATAAATTTATGAGCACTTCCATCGTTATTTGTGACCCAATTATTGAATGGATCGTTACGAAAGATTTACAAGTTCACAAACGTTGCATTTTATGTGATCCTAAACATTTCCACTTTGCAAATATTCAAGACTTTCTTGTTAAAAGAATTCGTAGAACACTTCCTCCTGACTATAACTTGGGACTGTAGCAAAAAACATTTACCTAGAATTTTAGCTAGTAGAACATCACTGATTGAGATAATAAAATACTGAAAATGTGTTTGAGACTATCAACAGCGTCGTTTTCAATTCCAATTTCTTCTCTTCAAATTACTTCACGATCTGTAATTTTATCAGTAAGTACCTAAATAAAAAATAGTTTTCTACTTACATGGGTCTCGTTGCCAATAAGAACTCCGCATTCAGTGTCTGTCGGCTCTGAGATGACGGGCAGAGCCGTGTGATTCACCATAGCTACAATTGCGACGGACATGTTTGTTCTCATGATGTAGGCGTTTGCCATACCAAGGAACAACATGAAGGTCACCCAGTGACGGGTGCCGAGGCCACCTGGGAACAAAGAAGAAGCTTTTTGAATAAAGGTTTAAAAAATAAAAATAATATTTTAATAACGTAAATGATTATTGTTCTACAAATAAAGGAAACCTACAAAAATCTTAGGGAGGAAAAGAGATAGGTATCAAGATATAAAATCGAACATCAAATTATTAAAAAAAGAATATCCATAAGTTTAAAATTCGAACTAGAAGCTTGACAGCTAATCTAAATAGATTGTCTTCACGCTCTAACGATTCAACGGAAATTGGGTCAAATACAATATCTAGTAGATACAAAACATCTAGTACCTAGCTAATAGCTGTTCTGCTACCTAGATTTATCATATCACTAGCGGCCCGCCCCTACTTTGCAGGGGTCCAACTATTTCGCTATCAAAGGGTCACCTTTTCCTAATCTTCCCCTCTACTTTTCTAATATTTTCTTTGATAAGAACCTTGTCCTGACAATAACAAACACAACAAAAAAAGAATTAGCAAAATTGGTCCAGGCATTGTTGAGTTATGCGCTTACCAACACATTTTACGATCCATTTTTATATTATAGATGAATTTGTAACTATAGGTACTATACATAACTGTAAACTTATTGAGTATCAGTTAGGGTTGCGGTTCAACTGCAATAAATTACCGTGGCCTGGAGCAGGAGAGGGAACAGGATGGCTTTTAGTCAGTAAGAAACCGACAGTCACAGAAAGAGTGAAAGAAGACTATTAATGATTTACAGACCTCAACAAAAAAGCCAATGATGAGTACCTATGTTAACTAATAAAATGTTCTAATATGTATCTACACAAGAGATTTTAAAATCAGAAAATGCTCGCTTTATGGGACGGTCATACCCTTACTGATAAAGAAGATACAAACAATATGGATAACATTGTACTAAATGCATTAAGATAACGTCTGGATGAAAATTAGATCGATGAAGAGATAACTGTATGACGCAGCGCTCTTGTAGCATGCGAGGTAAGTACAGAAGTTTCAGTGCGTAAAAATGTCGTTCGAATGATGAATATCAAAGGCAAAGCTTTGCAAAAGTACCTTGTAACTTCAAATGTTTGAAGTTTGCTTTTGATTTTTTGGTTCTTAAGTCATACGAGTTTGTTAAGTTTATTGGAGTATCAGTCAGTAGCTAAGAATGTGTAGACTACTTGTTTCAAATAGGTATAACTTGTCAAGATGATTAATTAAATAAAGTCGCCTTTTCTGCCCCTTTAGCTACGTACCTACGCTTAAATCTTAAAAACTACGAAATGGATTTTGATGCGGTTTTTTTATAGATAGAGTGATGGAAGATGAAGTTTTATAAGTTAAATAAACTCCATTAAATAGTGAAGGAATTTAGTACAAGCGGTGTAAAGCCCGGACGGACCGCTAGTGTCAGTGTAGTACTTTATAATAATAAAGTAGGTCCAAAGCTTTGTAGGAAACGTTTGATACAAACATTCAGCAAGTCCGACAAAACGTTTAACCGGTCAAATGAAAAAGTTGGTCCTACTGTACATTTTCTTATCACGTGTCTTAACCACTAGTTTTGACGTCATTTTATACGTACCTACTTTTCGATACACCAATTCGTTATTTACTGCCGCGGCTAAACGAAAACGTTTATGTACTTACTTACGGTGCTTATACGAAACAATAAAAATATTTTGTCTTGTCTACAGTATATTTTACGACATTCAGGTCCTTCATTAGACTTCATTATATTCTGTGTTACAGGTACCAGCTAAATCCAAACAAATTCATAATTCATAACCTCTTTCAGATTAAAAGTCTGCTGTCAAAAGCAAGTTACTTTTTGTGAAAAAGATTGGATTTTAAAAAATGTTTTTCACACCTTTAGGACATTGTTTCGCACAAAACATAGTCAATTCATTCATTTTCGACAAGGTTCCTAACTCAGTCAGATATTTCGGAGCATAAGCGCTCTATACAGCTTATTTAGCTTTTTTTATCGTAATCAACAACATACAACTACCTAGTTAGATAAAATTAGAATAAATACGGAGAGATTACGAACAAAGTAGTCCATATAATTTCATATTATAGTTGATAAGATAATGCGAATGCTTACAGGAAAATCTAACAGTTCGACTAAGCACAGAGATATTTATAATTTGGGGGTGAATTTGACCGACATTTCTTTTCGTAAATTTAATGACGATCAACTGCACGGTTGGTGCCGTGGCTGGGCAACTGGCTGCCGTGCAACGTGTCGCGGGTTCGATTCCCGCACGGAACAACTCTTTGTGTGACCCACAAATTGTTCCGGGTCTGGGTGTCACGTGCATGTGAAATTGTATGTTTGTAACCGCAACCACGACACAGGAGAAAATCCAAGTGGGTGAAATGTTCTTTTAAAAAAAAATTACGAGAACATAAGAATTCCTTATTAATTTATTTGAGTACCTAAGTAAAATGTAATGAAAACATTTATTTGTAATACATACATAAGTAGGTAGGTACACAAAGTTAGTCATTTTTTGATAGCGAACCGTACCTATGTTCAGTCTTTTTCTCTGTCTTAGACAAAAAACAATTACTTACCTACCCATAAGAAAGAATTTAGACAACAAACCTTAAAGTACCTATTACCTATTGTAAGGTCAAAAGTTGGTTTGGATATTTGTAACTCTTTCACGTAAAAACAGCTGAATTATAGTGACAGATTACGCACCGATGCGTTAGAATCCGATGGCAGGAGCTAGTCTATACTAATATTATAAAGAAGTAAAATTTTTAAGTTTGTATGTAGGGGGTAATCTTTGAAACCGTTGGTCGAATTTCCAAATTTCTTTCACTGATAGATAGCTAGAGTTCCTGAGTGCTATAGGCTATAAATCATCACGCTACGATCAAATGGAGCCGAGCAGCGAGTGAAACCGCGTGAGAGTAGCTAGTATTATAATAAACGCAGGTATCTAAGCTCTTCCTTAGTGCTCAACTATTATTTTTTAAGGAAAATTTGTCGCAACAAATTAATATTGAACAAAAGAGGCATTAATTACCAAGGTATCATAACCACAATTCGTCATATTGGTATATCTAGTTATAATTATAATAAAATATAATGGAGTAAATGCTTTGGTATTACCCCATACCTCACCTTTAGTCAATCACAATGAACCACGATAAATAATTAAAAATGTATTTTGCCTCAAATATTAGGTAATTCATTCATCAAACTTCAACGCGAACGCTTGCGTTCTCGCCCCTACTGTTCTTATAAGTATTGTGTCTCGAATTTCCACGAGTGAAACGTTAAGAAATTAAAACAAATTGCCAGACCTAATAAAACCTTCATAAATGTAACAAACCTGTCATTTAGTTAATACAGAGATAAAAATAAATCATTACAGCACCAAAGACGTAAGAATTTACATAAACTGGCGTTATTACAAACTTGGCAATAGTAATACATGTCAGAGCCAAAATGTCGGCTTTTCACAGTTATTATTAATTATTTTACTAATTCTGTTTGTACATAATGTAATTAGAAACGCGACAAGATACTATGTCTATGTAAGTAAATAACATACGTAAATAAAATGATACACGTTCTATTTAAGGAATCCTAATTATAGCTATATTTAAGAGAATAGTTTACTCGGTCAAAAAAGAATTGCTACAACTTTTCTGTTTAATGAAATAGGTATAAAAAAAATCATACCTGCTTTTAAGTTGATTTCAAAGTATAGTTGGTTTTCCTTTTACTAGCATTTTTTTATGCAATAACTACCTATAGGTACTCACATAAATATATTTGAATTTGAGGACTTATTCTACTTACTCGTAATTTCGAAAAATATTGTATTGATTGATACGCAATATAACTAAGGCTTACCCTTGAACTAGACCCGAGATCAATACCAATAAGGCAATTTATCGTCTCAGTTTTCAAATATTAGGTACCTAAAGCCATTATTTACATGTATCTTACCTAGTTGCCTATTTGATTTATAAATATAAAAAAGCAATTTTTCACCACAAAAGAGTAATTTACATTTGATTTATCAATACATTCTATGGTTTTGTAGTGTTGAAATCATTAGTCAGTCTTTTAGGTTCAATTTAGACTAAATAGTCTTTGTAGTTAGAAGTACCTAGGTACCTAATAATTATTACATAATATTATTCATAGCTTTATTTTCTAAACACACACGTATATTGTTTAAGAACTGTCATAAAATGTGCGCCATTTTACCTACAAAATAAAATGCAACCATAGCCAATTTGTTTAAAAAAAGAAACATCAGTCCTTCAAAAAACGGTAATCAACAGGCGACATGATAGGCAAACGTCTAATTACAAAATTACGTAACACAGGAAGTGAAATATAAATTCTAAATACAGTGAAACCTGGTTAAGTGAGACATCAAGGGACCTGCAATGTCGTTTCACTTATAGAGGTATTCCACTTACCCAGTGTCTTAGATATACAGGTATAAATAATTAATATCTGTTTCATTTACAGAGGGTTCCATTATTAGAGGTGAGAATACAGGTTATTTCAGTTATACAGTCAGTTATTCAGTGATACATAACACGTTATTTTATGTAATGATCGCATTAAATAAAATAACGTGTTATGTATGTAAATAAGTTTTAATAAAAAAAATAGTACATAAAGGTAATCATAATCACATACTTTCTCGCGTGTCTTCCCACTTTCATAAACGGATATTAACTTCAGTTTTTCACGTAATGATAACGATTGTAGCTTTCGTTTTCGCATTTTTCAAATAAACATCTGTATCATAGTAGAGCGAAACTAAAACTGAAGGTAATTGAAGCTCTAAATTTGTACTTACGTACTTGGAATTACGTGTGGAATTTGTGGGCAGAATAAGAATGAGTAAACAAACAATGTTATCTCAGTTACAGAGGTTTATTCATATAAAATTTACTCGCTGTCTCAGTTATAGAGGTAACTATGATGATAAATCGAAAGAACAAATCCCAGATATACAGGTTTGCCTCGTCCCAATA